TGGACGGACGAGATGTTTCGAGCGGATAACGACGGAGTAACCGCCATTCAACGTTTTTCACTGTTGCGCCACAAGTCTCTTTCCGCGACGTTACGCTTCTGACTTGATTTCGTCCCTCATCGCGAGCCCGAATGACAGGTACTGTAATCGTTCGCAAGTGCACCAGTTGAGCAAAACTGCAGGGCAGCGAACATCCTTGTTGCGACGCGCAGAATCGAAACAGCCACGCTTCTGTTTCACCGCGCCTCGTTATTGCGATACACTGTCGGCGGTAGCGAACTCAGTAACGAGGAAAACAGAACTTCGTACCGAATCCACAACATCCTCAATCCTTCATGCGAGAGTTTGAAACTGACACATTTGCGCAAGTCTCCGCACCGCTGGTCGCTGACGCAAGCGGGACACTGGCTGGGGATTGGCTGTGGAAGGCGCAAACGGGGCTGGTGGGGTGGGCGTGGGATGCTGGCTGCGTGGCATAGTGCCAATGGGCGATTGCATTGCACTGCTGCGCGCGTCGCGAGCCACGCCAGCAAAACTTCTGCATTTTGGTTGGCGCAACAGACAAGAGGAAGGAAGGAGAGTTGGGGGAGGATGAGAGGCGGAAGGGAGACGGGAGGTGGGGGGAAGAGTGTGCTAGCGGGGCGCAATTAGAATGTCGGAGCGCAGTTTCACGACGAGAGGCGCAATTGGGCTGCTGGCTGGCATTTCCCGTGAAGGCTGCCAGCCAGCCAGCGTGCCACACTGCCACTGCAAAGACTTCCCTTGTCGTTGCACCCGCTGAAATTCAGCTGGCCCCTTCCCCATTCCGCGCCTTTCCTTCACCCATTCCGCGCCTTTCCTTCCCCCATTCCGCGCCTTTCCTTCCCACTCCACTCCACACCACATTCTCAATTCCGCAATCCTCCCAAACCTTCCAATCCCCCATAATCCCCCTTTCCGAATTCCCCGTAACCGTGTTCGCCAATTCCCAATTCTTCGTTCTTCCGCACATTCTCTTATTGACGTTTCCCAGATTGCGTCGGATCGCGATTCGCGAGGCAGTCAACCCAGCTAGGGACGAGGGGGCTAGGGACTTCACCTGAGGGCGCCCCTCGATTGCACGGACGGTCTAAAAATCAGGCGATCGTCGCGTGGTCGGCCATGCTGACGACAACTGCAGCTGAACACCAGAAATCGGTAACGACAAGGTCAGCTGAAAGCAAGTTGAAAGGAGAATGCGTGGGGCAGGGCTTGTTGTGGGCGAGGCGAGAAGGGACTCTGAAGGAACGGGGTGACCCTGGGCCCGATACAGTACGACAGAGAAAATAAGATACAAATTGCTTGACCTTCCGAAGCCAATCTTATCCATGGTTGATTGTACGGTACTTGCAAGCTACCAGGCTTCTCCACACTACAAGTCCCAGCTCCTCGTGTTGCACAGGAGTAGCTGCTTCGTGAAAGAATGCGGGAAGTGCAACAGAGGACCGAGCCCCTTACTCGCGAGACGCACGTGAACAGCAGAGTCTTTTAGAAACCGTCGTAGCCTCCGACGGAAAAAGGAGGAGGAAAAAGCAACGCCCGTCAACGCTTAAATATTTATCAAAACCCTCCACAACACCATTTTCTTGCGCGAATCGCCAACGCGCAATGGGCTGCTACTCACCTTCTCAAACCGTTCCCAGGTCTTTCGAGCCAAGCACAGTCCAGCCAATCACAGCCAAGCCCATAACCGCGGAGCCAATCACAGTGGACGTTTTCCCCGCGGTGTTTCTCGAGCGCGATTACGAGTTCATGGGGGAAATCGGCAGCGGGCAGTACGGCAAGGTCTGGAAGTGTCGCTCGCGCCTCACCGGCCGGCAATTCGCATGCAAACAGGTCAAGAAGCGGCCGGCAAGGCCGGCGCGGCCGGCACGGTCAGGACGGGGACAGCAAGGGCGGAAGGACTCTGCGCAGCGGAAAACGAGGGAGAGAAACGGCGGGATATCCGGCGCGGACGGCGCGGCGGGTTCAGGAGATGACGTGGACCCGATCGAGCGTGAAATTGCGGCGCTGACTCATTTGGAGGGTTGCGACGGCGTCACGTCGCTACACGGCGTGTTTGAGGACGCCACGTCGGTTTTCCTCGTTCTGGACTTGTGCGATAGTGGCGACTTGTTCTCGCTTATCGCGGACACGGACGGAGTTCCCGAGGACGAATCACGTCAGCTGTTTGCTGACGTGGCACGCGCGGTGAAAGTATGCCATGACAGGGGCGTGTTGCATCGAGACATAAAACCCGACAACGTACTCCTTTCTTTACGCAACACAACTACTACGCCTGATATGGGTAGCAGTCCGAGTAACCCCCAGATTGCGGGGTTGGACTACAACTACCCCTCACCTACGAGTAACACTTCTTGGACCTCCGCCGCGCCTTTATTTCACGGTTTCCGCGCCACGACTGCGTTTCCGTCACCGTCGCCGAGCCGCCGGCGCTACGACGTGAAGCTAGCGGATTTCGGCCTGTCGGTGATTCTAATGGGGGGCGGGCGCGTGCGCGGGTACGCGGGGAGTTTCCCGTACGAAGCGCCAGAGGTGGTTGGGTTGAGAGAGTACAGTTTCGCAGCGGATATCTGGAGCATGGGCGTGCTTTTGTACGCGTTATTGTCTGCGAACTGGCCCGAGTTCAAGAACAGGCAGGCGCTTAACGAGGAGACGGACTGGACTGGCGCGTCGTGGGATCAAGTGTCGGAGGACGCAAAGGATCTTATCCGTCGATTGCTGACGGTGGATCAAGATCGACGGCCCACGATCGATGAGGTGCTGAGGCACCCGTGGCTGGCGCAGGCGACCCGCGTTGATCGTACCGAAAGCGTTGACTCCGCTGACTGCGTTGACCGCGAGAAGGGGACAAAATTGAAACAAAATCCGTCGCTTCTGCCGCCGCTCCTCATCCCCTCGCAATCGCTCGATTCTCGCGAGTCTACCTCCCTCGAGTCGGCTTCGTCCATTCCGTCGGAAGCTTCCTTCCTCTCCGCGCTTGCCGCCACGCCTGCTTCTCTCCCCACGCCAACAGCTACTTTTACTGCCAGCAGCACGACGTATCATGCGGCGAGTGAAAGGAGCAACGCGATCGGCGCGGTATCGGGGGGGATCCGCAGTAACTGCGCCAGCCGCGGAAGCAGCGCTTCGGAGACCCTCCCCGTCAGTGACAATAGCGGGGTGTGGGATGGGCCTGAGGCGCCGTGTGACTCTATGGAGGGGTGCGGACTGAAAGGGCGTAACCCTAAATGTCACCCTAAAAGGCCGCATCAAAGGCTGAGAAAAGGAGGATCTGCGGAAAATTCAGTCGACGGCGGCATGACGCGTGGACCAATCGCAACCGAGGAAGAACGGAGGTGCATGTCGGAGCCAAGCGGCGGGAGTCACGGAGGACAAGAGGAGAAGGACGGTACTAGCAGCGGAAGCGCCAGGAGGGGAAGCGCAACCGGCGCAAGCGCAAGTGAACCCCGTAACAAGGATAACTATGCAAGAGCAGGTTCCCCGTTAGCGCGACGCGGGTCCATCAAAGAGTACGCGGCGCAGGTGGTGTCTAGCCTAAGATGGCAGCCTGGCTGCTTCTATTCGACCGCTGAAGCCGTGGCTCCCGAGGCGGCCTGCGACGACACCGACGCTTCTTCCGCCGCAACTACCGCCGCAACTTCCGTCACTTCTGCCGTCGTGCCTCCTGCTACCGATATCGGAGCCTCTAAAAGTGGAACCGCGGAAACCCAAGGCCAATCTCCGAAGGGTAAAGAGTCGGCGGATATGGATATTCTACGAGCAATGGAGGTCCATCTATCCGCGTTCTTTATGACGAAGCAGTTTAGTAAAAAGTGTGCTTGAAATGATGTAAATACGAGCTCTACAATTTTGTTATTTAGTTCAAAATGTTAAACTGCTGCAAGGTCCAGTTTGAGCTCTGATTGTTCAACAGATATGCTCTAGAAAACTATCACGGTTTTTTTCATCAAGTTGAACCGTCAGTAATAACAATGGCAAGCTTTTGCAAGTTTTTGCAAGTTCATTTATCCCCTCAACCCTCCCTACACCTTCTCTACTACCTATGCTACTTCACACCCTAAACATCCAGCAGTCCTCCCCTCCCCTCATCACACGGAGCCTTGCAAAGCAACGTGCCGCACCAACACAGTGCCAATGCCCATCAAATTATTGTATGTTTTTCCTCACGTTCCGTAGCTATATGGCATTAGTAAAGCAAACAGTGATCGCTGAACATTAGCATAGTAAACACACTTAGATAACAATTTCGACCATCGCTCATTGTCCTTTGACGGCCCTCACTCCTTGGCATGTCTATCTAACTACCGACTACTACTATCTGCCATTCACAAATCACCCATGCACTGTTCTCCGGCTCCATCAACGCTAGGGACCAAAGTTTGGGAAAATTTTTGTTTTTAAGCAACCCTTATCATCAGTCCTGCACCTTTGCAAAACCCTGATTATCAGTGTGACATATTGGGAAAATTCTTTTCCATCAGGGTTTTCCATAGTTTAAAAAAATTTACCCTTATGCCACAGTGTAACAATTTTCAATACCCTGACCTGATGAAGTGTTTCTACTGGAGTTCTGAATGAAAGCGCGGGCTACAAGATTCGATCCCGAGTCCCCATCCTTCCGAAGACCAAACCACAGCATTGACAACAATGGGCGACAAAAGCACATTCCCTCCCCCTCCCCACCCCACCCTCCCCACCCTCCCCGCCCTATCCATAAGCAATCCAGCCCACCGCACAGCCAGAGTCAAAAGGTGGGTGTCTCACAAAGTCATCTTCCATTCACAGATCATCCGATGCAGCCGTTCTCTTCCTCAACCAATCAGGTTATCATCCTTCAATCAACAGCAAAAGCACTTCCATGCAAAATCTTTCCCTCTTTGCTACACACCTTTTGATGCGCCTCAGAAGACCTGTGCCATTCACAGACCATCAGTACTCCCCCGTACCCCACACGTCTTAGTAGCACCAGCTTGTGCCTTTCACAGGTCATCCGATGCAGCCGTTCTCTTCCTCAGCCGGTCAAACCTCGCTGCCAGGTCATCAATGCCAGGTAGAGACATCACATCTCCCGACAATCCAGTTGTCCCCGAACCACTCTGCATCCCCGAACCTGGCCCCGAGGCTACCCCCCCACCTCCTCCACCGTAACCCGAACCAGCGCCGGAGCCATACCCGCCAGAGCCTGGCACCGAGGGGAACTCCGAGCCTGAGTGGGAGGAATGGGTGGCGCCCGAACCAGGGACGGACGGGGCATTGAAATCACCACTGCCGTTGCTATTGTTGGCCCCCCTGGGAGATCGAGCAACATAGTCATCGAAAGCATGTGCTGGGGTGCCATGGCTTGCCGGTACTGCTCCTGACTCTCCTCCATACCCAGTAGTACCCATGCCTCCTGTTCCCCCTGCTCCTCCCACCCCACCTGCTCCTCCTCCTCCTCCTCCTCCTGCCCCAAATCCGCCACTACCAGTTTCACCTGCTCGAGGTGACTTAGCCACAAAATCGTCAAACGCACTCGCCCCCACAAACCCACCTCCTCCCCCTCCCCCTGCTCCTCCCCCTCCGCCTCCCCCTCCCCCTCCGCCTCCCCTTCCCCCCACGATGCCTCTAGGGGGAGCTGGCAAATCCAAACTGTCCTCCCCATCTTGCACCCCGCCCCCTCCACCTGAACCACCTGAGGAAACACCTGGCGCAACAGAACCACCTGGGGATCCACCTGGCATGCCACCGTAAGCACTAGGCCCGTAACGAGCGTTAACTGCCATTCCTCCCTGTCCGCCCATCATCCCCCCTCCCCCTCCTCCTGCCCCCGAACCATACCCAGCACCAATCCCCCCTCCCCCCATTCCACCGCCCCCAACGGCCATGCGGGCGGCATCTGCCGCCCGCTGCGCCGCCAGCCTGGCGCGCTCCGACGACTCACGGATCGCTGCCATCTGGCGCTCTCTCTCCTCAGCCACACGATCAAACTCCCTAGCCACCTCGTTTTCCGCCTGCCGAATCTCCTCTGTGGAAAACGCACCACTGGGATTGTTACCCTGATTCTGGTAGTTACTAGCTATACCTCCTCCCCCTCCTCCTCCTCCCCCTCCTCCTCCTCCTCCGCCGTAGCTACTAGGAGCATAATCCATAGCATCTTTCTTGAAAGCCTTACCCTCCCCATACTTGGGGACAGATGATGCTGGGTAATCCAGAGGGTTACCACCCACGCCAGTGTAACCAGCTGACCCACCACCAGAACCATAACCATCACCACCACTGCCACCACCACCAGCACCACCAGCAGCACCAGCGGCAGCAGCAGCAGAAGCGGGGTGGGCAGGGTTATTTGCCTGCCCCTGCCCGCCTGCCCCTCCCACCCAACGCTTCTCATAATCATCTGCTGTAATCAGCGATTCTGTGCGAGGAGGGGCAGACGGAGGGCCGGTTTCGTACGGCTGGCTGCCTGCCGGAACATTTGCGGGCTGCCCGGGATTGTAGGGCTGCCCGGGGCCAAACATGTTGGGCAAGGAGTCGTGAGGAGGGGGGGTTCTGGGAGCGTCTGGAAGGGTGGATGTGTAGACTGGCTGGTTGGAGCGAGGGTCCTGAGAGGGGGAGAGCAATGGGAAGAGGGAATGGAGGCGTGGGTTAGAGTGCGTGTGTGTATGAAGAGGGAGAAAGGGAAGGCTGGGAAGGTTGGGCGTGGAGTCGTGAGGAGGGGGGGTCCTGGGAGCGTCTGGATGGGTGGATGTGTAGACTGGCTGGTTGGAGCGAGGGTCCTGCAGGGAAGGGTGGGAGGGAAGGGGGTGAGGCAAAGACAGAAAGATGAGTGATTGCAAGAGCATCTGGATGTGAAGAGGTGTGGACTGGCTGAATGGAACAAGTGTCCTGAGGGGGGGAAACAAAGGGGGGGATGAGAGAAAGTTCTTTTGAGATGTCTCGAAAGTACTATTTTTACACGAGGCTGTATGGAACGAGGGTACTGCAGGAGGAAACAAAGGGGGGGACGAGAGAAAGGCAGAAAAAATGAGCATCCGGAAGGGTAGATGTGTGGACTAGCTCAACACATCGCAGTGCACTCCTGTGCACTCCGGTGCACTCCTGTGCATCCCTGTAAAGCCCGTTGACTAAGCACCGCACCCCACTCACCATCATGTCTTGGTATTTCGCCAGTAGATCCTTCTGCATGCTCGCCGGGTCCCACTCCATTCACGCCATTCTCTGTGTCCCAAAGAGATGCGTTACTGAGCGTCCCCCCTTCCCCAACATCACTCTCACCATCATATCTTCATATTTCGCCAACAGATCTTTCTGCATGCTCGCCGGGTCCCACTCCACGCCGTTCTCCTCCGCCAGCTTCTGCAGCGCCTCTAGCTTGGATTCCGGGGAGGGAGCTCTCACTGACAGCTTGGCAACAATCTGTGGAAGTGGAAACAAGGGGAAGAGGGGAAAGGGGGGAGAAACTACTGAGTCGCCACCCTACTCCACTCCACGCCATTCTCCTCTGCCAGTTTCTGCAGCGCCTCCAATTTCGATTCGGGGGAGGGAGCTCGCACTGACAGCTTCGCCACGATCTGGAGGTGAAGGGCAGATACAAGGAGAGAGGCATGGCACGGGGAACAGGGGAACATGGACTGGCTTAGCAACTCCACTCCACTCCACTCCACTCCACTCCACTCCATCCTCCTCTGCCAGCTTTTGCAGCGCCTCTAGTTTGGATTCGAGCGGAGGGGTTCGAACGGACAGCTTAGCCACGATCTAGAAGGTGCCGCACAAAGAGTGCAAAGGACGAAGATGGGCTGGGAGCAGGTGAACATAGATCTCATAGATAAGGTGACCTCTACCCCACTCAACTCCATTCCACCCCACACTACCACACTCCACCCCAATCCACCCCACTACACCCCAATCCATCCCACTCCTCCCCAATCCTCCCCACTCCACCCCACCTCACCGCACTCCACCGCATCGAAACACTCACGATTCGGTTCACTCCACATTCTGTCCGCAACTCCTCTGCTGCCATCACGAATTCCCGCTCAAACTTCAGAGGCAAATCAAACATCAGTACCGTCACTGCCCCACTCCACCCCATTCGACCGTACTCTACATCACTCCACCCCACCCCACCGCACTCCACACCAAAACACTCACGATTCGGTTCACTCCGCATTCAGGCCGCAGCTCCTCTGCTGCCATCACGAACCCTCGCCCAAACTTGTGCTAGAGAAGTTTCTTTGCCTCGGCGAGCTCGCGCCCAAGCCTTCGAGACAAGTAATACACTACTTCCGTCACTGCCTCCCATCACTTAGAATTCCGTCCACTCCACGCCACCCCACCCCACCCGACTCCACCGAACTCCACCCCATCCCACCCCAATCCATCCCACCGCACTGCACTCCACACCAAAACTCGGAACACTCACGAGTCGGTTCACTCCGCATTCAGGCCGGAGCTCCTCTGCTGCCATCACGGAATCCCGCCCAAACTTCAGAGACAAGTCAAACATCAGTATCCTCACCGCCTCCCATCACTCAAAGCTCCGTCAACTCCACCCAAATCCACCGCACTCCATCCCTTTCGAGTCCACTCAGTGCCACTCCACCCACCCCACCACACTCCACCACATTAGAACACATATTATTACTCACGATTCGGTTCACTCCGCAATCAGGACGCAGCTCCTCTGCTGCCATCACAAACTCCCCAATCCACCCCACCCCACCGCACCCGACCACACTCCACATCAAAACACTCACGATTCGGTTCACTCCGCATTCAGGCCGCAGCTCCTCTGCTGCCATCACAAACTCCCGCCCGAACTTCTGCTGGAAGAGCTTCTTCGCCTCAGCAAGCTCGGGCAGGTCGGAGCAGCGCGGGGCAGCAAAAATAATGCTCGATACCGCCTCCCGCAAGTCCACCGGGCAGGTCCTGAAGCAAACAAGTCACAAGAAGTAAACAAACACGGCAACACGATTACCAACGTTTAGAGACGCCTTAGAACTCGTAACAAGACATCACGCGATCCCCACGACCATCATGTTATGGGAAGCCATAAAAGGGGTGTATAAACGTAAACCCTATAGTACTCACTTCTGTGACTCTATAATGAGGATGCGGGCGACCAGTAGCTCGCAGAAGAGCTCCAGCACATCGTAGGCCGCTATAGTGTTCTCCTCCCTTATAAGCTCCTCCACCTTAAAAACAGGGAACATTCAACCGGATGAAGGGAGGATAAGACACACACACACACACCAGAAGGAGGTGTAGAGAAGAAATATCTTAGCCAATCAGCTCTCAACACGATGCGGAACCGCTTGTCCCTCTCGTTGCTGTCACAATGGGCAATGCAGGAATTTCAGCTCATTGCTGATTTAGGATTATGCCTCCTGTTCGCCTTTGGAGCATCATAGCCATCGCTCAATGTTTGCATTTTCAGCGCCATCGTAATGCATGGATTAATGGAAAAAAATCTAAACCAATTTTCAAGATTTCTTGTCAGGATTTTTTGTTTTGAATTTCATACCCTAATCCGAGCTCGTTCTGCTGTTTTTTGCGTATCAGGGTGTAATAGATATACATACGCATGCAAGCATGGTTTATGTATAACGTAGTAACGCGTAACACGTACCCTAATACGAGCTCGAGCCTCCTGGCCGCCTTTGAGCATCATCGCCACCTCGCGCCGTTTGTACTTGAGCTCGTTCTGCCGCTTGTTGCGCATCACCGTGATTCGCGACGCCGACAGCTGAAGCTGAGTCTTCCTGTAACGAGGACAGAGTGTATCATAGAAATTCAACAACATTTACCGTTGAGAAGGATATCAATGCCTTGAAGCGGAACAGGAGACGAGGAGAGCAGAGGTTTGGACAAAGACAAGGACATCGGGAGGTGACTTCTAAAATAAAAAATGTGCGAGCCTCATCACTCACAGCTTCGAGCCCTTGAATCCTCCTCCAAACATCGTGACTGCTCTGCAACTAACACAACCGTATTCAAGGCGAAAGAAATCAACCGCGGGATCAAACGTCGATAAATTCCTTCGCAAAAATGTTCGTCGACGCAGATTGGCAGGAAAGGCGTAAAGAGACCTCACGCGGAATCTAATCGCGCAGACTCGTCCCTTTGGGAAACTTGAAAACCCGAAGGACGCTTAGAATACGAACAGCTTAATCAGCCAAGCGCCGATCACGGGAAGCCAGAGCACCGGCCTGCATTCAGCTGGAGAAAACTGAGCTATGGCGCAAAATGCTTGCTGCTGGTGCTGCAGGTGCTGCTGAGCATTATGGTCCAAGCTAGCTGCTGCCATCAAGTCCCACATTGGCTCGTTGAGGCGTGTTCCAGGAGAGAGTCACTGATCGCAGTTAGAGAGGGTTACCAACAAGTAGAAGAAAGTTTCATCTTCTATAATTCATTTTTCCTGCTCTAAACATGGAACAATTAGCCAAAGCGCTCGAGTCCTTCTGTTTTCAAAGACGGAACATGGACCCCTAATGGATTTTTTTTTTTTTTTTTCTTGCGAACACCAATGGTATTTTTTTTCTCAGACCAGAATTCTCTGCTCACACAAGTGCGGTCAGGGCAACTGTCCCCTAGGCGCACGAGCCACCTGAATGAGTCTCATGAGTAAAAGAACCCAAATGCAGCACACATAGAACCCCCCCTCAAGATACCCGATCAAAACGCCGAGTCAAGACACCCCATCAAGACATCCCATCCCACACCCCACCCCCCCCCCCCCCCCTTCAATCACAACAGCGTATCGACCATGTACGGGGCCTCTACCCAGAGAGCCCCGCCTTCCACATTGACATCGTCCCTCTCCCGGTCCACCAAATCTACGTTAATCCCCCCCATGGAAGACGCCGCTCGAAGCAGGATGACACGGGCTTGCGCACGTTGTAACGCCACCCCGATGAGCGCCTTCAGTGACCCTAAAAGATAAGCCGAAAACACAGAGTCGTCCTCTCGACAAGCCCCCCGCGGCACAGCTAGCCCCACGTGCGCATCCCCCTGCGGCGCATCTATCAAACTCCAAAAGTCGACACCACTCCTCCAACTGTTGCTCCTGGTCGTCCATCGATCGCCCCCCTGCTTGCTGCGCTCCTTGGGGTGCCCAGGGCACCCTCGGCTGCCCCCCTGGCTGCTGCGCTCCCTGGGGTGCCCCGGTCACCCCCGGCTGCCCCCCTGCCTGCTTCTCTCCCTGGGGTGCTCCGGGCACCCTCGGCTGCCCTCCTGCCTGCTGCACTCCCTGCCCCCCTGCTGACGAAGCCACCGCTGAAAACGACCGCCGAGACACCCCCACGTCTCAACTATCAAAGGGGTGAACTGCACGCCCCGGTTGCGTGCAAGCAGAGGCGCGTAATCACTCGTTTTGCGACGCTCCCACTCCCTTGCCGCCACACCTATTTGACGCCCGCACTGTCCCAGCAGTGATGGGGACAGCGATAGCGGGTCCGCGACGCTGATCTCTAGGGCGTGAGCCTCTCCAGCCATTGGTCGTCGCACCGCCACATCAACCCGCTTCCCCTGCAGCACCACACTATCCTCCATTGTCACCACCCCCCCCGACGCCTTAGAGATCTTCGCCACCGCAAACTTCACCTCATCATGCACCCGAGATGGACCATGCTGGTGCTTGCATCTCAGGGCATGGTGCGGGTCTGCTGGGTCAACATACACTGTGCCACAAACACACCTCCCCGCCACCTGCAGCTGCTGAATTGGGAGGCCAAGCCGTATAGCAGCAGCGATGCCCCACTCAGCCGCAGTGAATGTGAGATCTGAGTGAGCCGGAACCGCCGAAACCCATGCACCCGCCCCCGGGCCCTGAAGGGATGTGAAACGGGCCAAGGTAGCATCGTCACGAGCCAAGCGGCGCAGTGCCTGGAGCTCCTCTACGGCTAACTGCCGCTGCCGCGCCTGGAAAAGCCGAACAGGAGGGGCCGCTACACACAGAGGTAAGCCCGGTATCTCGTGGCGGATAGTCGCTGGCAGCTGCTCAAGAGCCTTGACAAACCACGGGTCAAGAAACTCTGCCCCTGTCGAAGTGGTGAGGTACTCTGCAAACATCGCCTCCTCACCCGCCACCCCTAACTGTGCAATGTCACGCGCGGCCTGCGCTCACCCACAAACATAGGACAGTGGGCTCAAAGAGGCCGCCGCCCGGATCCCGAACCCTCCGAGTCGCACAGGGAGATGCAGCTGCATGCGTGCGCGCCTAGACCGGTCGGGGTCCTGCTCCCAAGTGCCAGGTGGGAAAAGCTGCTCAAAGCAATCCTCTAAACAACTGTTCCAATCCCTAAAAGCCTCAACCACCTCCGGACGCGGCGGCATAGTCCGGGCGAGGTACATCGGCCGGGCTGAAACTGCAATGGCGAGGAGGTGTGAAGCCATATGAGGGTGGTCGAGCAATTGAAGCCATGGCAGTGGCGCCTGTAACTGGCGAAGCCGCTCCCGTAACCGGACCACCTCCCAAGCCTCCTCCCCAATAGGCACGCCCACCACAGTAAGACCCTCATCCACCCGCTGCATCCCCAATGGCAGTGCCCGCTCCACCTCCTTGCCCTCGCGCTCCCAAAACCGGCACTTGTGTGCCTGCACCTCCAGCCCCACCCACTCCAACCGCTCCCGCAGCACCCCAAAAGCCTCCAGAATCCTAGCCGCTGGCCCCAAAATATAGGTATCGTCTGCATAGCTGAGGAAAAGCAGGTCCTTGAACTCCCTAGTAACCGGCTCCATCACCTGCTGCTGCGTGAACACGAAAAGAAAAGGGCCGAGCGGGTCCCCCTGCCTCGATCCTCGTGCTGACTCGAGGCTCTGTACGAAAGGGCTTGCTCGGAGGTACAGGTCGCTAGGTGTCCCATAAAAAACACGCAAGAATGGGATCATCCCTGAGAAAGGCGACTCCCGCAGCCCATCGAACATCACATGACGGTGAAACGAATTGAAGGCGTTTGCAACGTCAATCTGTAGCGCACACCAGTCGGGGAGAGTGGCCAGCGCTGACCGAAAAGAATGAGTGAGAATCTCCGCCTCGACCCTGGTGCCCGCTCCCAGCTGGTTGCACGGCAGGAAGTAGGAAACCATCGCAGGGCGGAGCGAGATGCAGAGAGCTCGAGCAAGGATACGAGGAAGCACCTTCCCGATCGCCACCGGCCGGACGTCGCCGTTAGGCTTGGAAAGCCCGACTAGGTTGGATGCGGCGAGCCACGGCCGAGCCCGCTCGGAGACCTGTCCCGCCACCCATTGGTTGAACACTTCCAACAGGTGGGAAAGGCAGGAAGGTTCAGTGAGGAAGGTGTCGCGCAGATGCTCTGTGACCCACCCCGATGGCCCTGCAGCTGAAGCTCGAGCGGCTGTATGGATAGCTCTGGCCAGGATGTCGGTCGTGAGTGAAGGCCGCTGAGCAGTATCGATAGTGAAATCGCGGACCCACTGTGGTACCTCGCCAGCGCTAGCCGGGTGCTTCTCTCGCAGCGACTGCACCATGGCCTCAGACAGTCGAGCCAAATCCCCTGCTGTAAGGCAGGCCAATCCTCGGCTCCACTCCCCCACTTTGCACCGAGATCGGCACCGTGACAGGCGGATGGCATCCGGGTCCTGGTCAGAGCAAGTGTAGGAAAGTGGGCGAACTGCTGGCCGCGCCGCCACCATGGCAGAGTCGAACAGCTCCCGCCACCTCCCCTCCCAGAACGCACCCAACCGCTCTGTGATCAGCGCCTTCTGACCTATGCCTGGCTTGGGAGGCACGGCCATGATGAGGCGTGGAAACGCCAAGAGTAGGAGGGTAGCGGCTTCATCTCCAGGCTGGCTCTTCAAGCGCTTAAGGATGCAACAGAGCGCGTCTAAGACCCCCGACCTGGCCCGCTGTGGGATCCGGCGCACTGTCCTCCCTCCAACCGCCTCCACACTGAAAAAAGTTTCCCATTCCCATGACGTAACCCCAGCCCACGCCTCGTCCCCAAATTCCCGCGGCGTCGATCGCTCCTGCTTGTCGGTCTCCACCAGAGACGGAATCGAGCCGAGAGCCTGTGCACACCTCTCCGCCTCAGCCGCCCGGCATACCCTCATGTGGTTCGCAGCGGCCCCTCGCGTAGCGAAAGTGTGGAAACACGTGTCACACGGAAAGCGGGGGCATGGGGAAGGCGGCATGGGAGGTTCTTCGTCCGCCTCTGGCTCCTCCGCAGTCGCCATGGGGGTATCAAACTCCAAAAGTCGACACCACTCCTCCAACTGTTGCTCCTGGTCGTCCATCGATCGCCCCCCTGCTTGCTGCGCTCCTTGGGGTGCCCAGGGCACCCTCGGCTGCCCCCCTGGCTGCTGCGCTCCCTGGGGTGCCCCGGTCACCCCCGGCTGCCCCCCTGCCTGCTTCTCTCCCTGGGGTGCTCCGGGCACCCTCGGCTGCCCTCCTGCCTGCTGCACTCCCAAACCCTAAACCCCTAATGGAATTTGTCCCTCGGATTTCTTGAATCTCAATCATCTTCCTCGAGGTGTTGCATGATTTCGTGACGGACTGCTGTCGTTACCATCTTGACACATGATTTCGCAAAGCACCTCGCGCAACGTGTGTCGCACGCAGCACAAACACCAGGTGTGCTTCGCCGAAGGTGGTCTTGGTAACATATTATGTTACGACAATTTTCTGGGTTGTTTGCTGAATCATATTATAAGTTTTATCCAGGCTCCACTCACATACTCGCCAACAGACATGGCCACGCATATGCCAGCGAGGCGGAATACGCTACGTACGCAGCAACAAACACTGCACCACACACGCACCTCCTCGTTTCCGCGGGCTGTATTTCCGCCAGACCTGCGGCTGCGAGCCGATCATCCGCCGTGAATGGCATTCCTTCCGAGTTCGGCAATCGCAAGGGCAACGTTCTAGCCAATCACCAGCATGTTGCCTGCAGTTTTTCCCCGTCCCCCTTTTCACCGCCCCCCATACTGTACCTGTTTTCATAGGGCGCGCAGGAGGCTGGTTGGGGGAGATGAAGGGAAACTGTGTGCGATGCAGTGTGATTTCAGCATCATCTTATGCGGTAATTATAATAAACCCCCAGTTGAAGGCCACCAATGGAACACTCCCCCCGTACGAAAGCCAAAAGGCAGTGCGGGTGCGCGGAATTCTGTACTGGACAGAAACGTGGTGTACGGAAAACCGCATTGCGCCGTGTCGACTAGAGGTCGTTCTCAAACATGACCCCCTTTCCAAATTCGAGTCGGTCCAGTCCTTCGGCGACACTGGCTGTAAATAGACCGCGTCGAACCGTAGCGGACCATGTGATATCGTATTTATGCTGGTCAGGCTTCTCGTCGAACACGCCCGACAGAGAGCTAGTTCCTTCGAGGTTTTCCTTTGACCCCGTCCCTCCGAACTCGACTTCCTTCTGACCAGAGCAGCAGGAATGAGGCAGTTTGATTGGCTCTTCTATTCTAGGATTTTGTTCCGACTCACCCGAAGCCTTTCGCAGTTACATATAATTCGTTGCCACTGCAGATTACAATGGCGGCGACGGCTAGGGAAGGATGCGATGCGAGTTAATTAGGATACGAGGTAGCAAGGACATTGACGACGCACTCGGTCAGTCTCTCCGAATCACACGTGGTGTTCTATCCGTCCTCTTGACCGCCATAGTTCCATCACGTTGATTCGCCGCTTCTCGACGTCGAAAAGAGAAAACCAACAAGCATTCCTCAGGAAGACTTGTGGAGCTCCGTGTTGAAGCAACGATGTACTTATACAGCCATTTGCGAGTCAGACCGATACTTGTCTATTTCGGGACAAATAGAGCGACGCGCGCTCGCACAGACCTGCGGTAGAACGCCGAACCTCAACGTCGAGCGCACGACGCACGACGCACGACGAACGACGCACGTCGCACGACGCACGACGAACTACGAGCGACGCACGACGCATGACGCACGACGGACGACGAACGACGGACGACGAACGACGAACGACGACACATCTCGATGCTACTAGGAAATCCCCCGCCGACCGCAGCAATGCTAGCGAAGCTCCGACAAGGCCCGCATTCGCATGCGACTGTTTGTATCGGAATGCCGAATCAGTCTATAATGGAGCGGATTTGTATTAGAGTGCGTGCAGTAGCGGTCCGAAGGCCGTGACTCGATTCGAAACTACGTTTGAATGACGGGGACAGCTGCGAGTGGCGGCGAGAGTTTCGATTCGACTCAGAAGTCCGTCATCGGATTCAAATAGTGGTAATACGTGAAGGCCGTGACACGATTTGAGACGATTCGAAACGATTCGGGAGGACTCGAGACGACGTTTGAATGACACGTCTCCGATGACGACGAAAGAGCAGCCGCTAGTATCACGCGTCGGAGCGATTCGTCGCTACAGGTGACCGTTGAGTCCAATACAATGACGCGTCTCGAGCCGCGGCGCCATCGCCGGCGAGATTACTGGATGTTGCGCTCCGCATCCCCGCGTGTGAGCGGGCCGCCGCAGCTCGCGGCGCGCGCGGCGGCGCTCCGGCGGCTCGTTGTGGCGATCTGCCTTGTCCTTGCTTGCACACGTGGCGTTGTCGGAGAGGGTAGGTGTTGTCGAGGGGGGGGTGGGGGGGAAGGGAAAGAGAAGTGGGAAGGAGGAGGAGAGAGTGAGTCTTGAGGGAGGGGTTGAAGGGCAGCGAGGACGGGGAAGGGGGAGGAGAGGGTAGTTGTTAAGGGTGGGAGGGAAGGGCTAAGAGAACGGGGACAGGGGAGGAAAGGCAGGTTGCTCCCAACCGTTCCTCCCAAGTTCTCCCTTTCCACTCCCCCACTCAGCTTCCAGTGCTGGTGCTGCTGTGTCGTCACCAGCGCCTCTCCGGTGCCAGCCATTTCCGCCTCCTTCCCACCCCCCTTCCCCCCCTTCCCCCCCTTCTCCCCCTCCCCCCACCCGCTCAGCTTCCAGTGCTGGTGTTGCTGTGTCGTCACCAGCGCCTCTCCTGTGCCGCCCCATCATCCCCCTCTCTCGCTCCCCTCCTTATCGCCCCCATTTCCCCCTTCCCCCACTCCCCCCACCTCCAGTGCCCTCCAGTGCCCTCCAGTGCCCTCCAGTGCCTGTGCTGCTGTGCCGTCACCAGCGCCTCTCCAACTGCTGCTCATTCCCCATCATCCCCCTCTCTCCCTCCCCTCCTTATCTCCCCCATTTCCCCCGTCTCCCACCCCCTCAGACCTCCAGTCCCGGTGCTGCTGTGTCGTCACCAGCGCCTCTTCCCACTGTGCCTCCGATTTCCGCCTTCTCCCCCCCCCTCCCCCCCCCAATCTCCCCTTCCTTCCCCCACCCACTCAGACCTCCAGTGCCGCTGCTGCTGTGCCGTCACTAGCACCTCCCCGGTGCCACCCCATCATCCCCCTCTCTCCCTCCCCTCCTTATCTCCCCCCCTCCCCCCGCTTCTCCCCCTCCCCCCCCCCCCCCCCCCCCACCCACTCAGACCTCCAGTGCCGGTGCTGCTGTGTCGTCACCAGCGCCTCTTCCCACTGTGCCGGCCATTTCCGCCTCCTTCCCCACCCCGCTTCCCCACCTTCTCCCCCTCCCCCCACCCGCTCAGCTTCCAGTGCCGGTGCTGCTGTGTCGTCACCAGCGCCTCTCCTGTGCCGCCCCAGCTGCTCATTCCCCTTCCCCACTCTTCCTCCCCTCCTTGTCTCCCCCATTTCCCCCTTCTCCCCCTCCCCCCACCCACCCAGACCTCCAGTGCCGGTGCTGCTGTGTCGTCACCAGCGCCTCTCCAGTGCCGCCCCAGCTGCTCCCAATAGAGTGCGCACACTCTCTCCTGCTGCACTCCTGCACCGCACTCGACCCATCCGATTTCAGCCGACAACCCACTGAACCACCCCAGCTGACCCCAACAGAGTGCGCCCACCCTCTTCTGCATGCATGCAGTGCAGTTGACCCATCGAATCTCAGCCCACCACCCACACCCACTGATCCACCCCAGCTTCCCCCAACCCAACAGATCCTATCAAAGTGTCCACATTCGCTCCTGCTGCTCTCCTGCAGTGCACTCGGCTTATCCGATCTCAGCCCACGAACCACAGCCACCGACCGACCGCAACTGCACCCACCCCTGTACGCCCACTCTTTCTTGCTGCACTCCTGCCCTGCAGCTGACTTACCGAATTTCACCCCACCATCCACTGACCCGCTCCAGCCACTCCTATCGCACTGCGCCCGCTCTCTCCTGCTGCATTGCTGCCCTGCAGCTGACTTACGAAGTTCCAGCCCACGGGAGCAGGAGTGGGAATGGAATGTAACCCAAGGGCTTTTGAGCCTTGCGTGTGGGGAATTCGCGAAGTCTGAAACGACCAGCAGAGATAAGGCGATTGAAGGGGAGACGGAAGAGCAAGCAGGAATTGGGAGCGAAGGGGCTGGTCTGATGAAGGAAGAGGGTGAGAGAGCAGGAGAGACACAGCAGCAGGAGTTGACTTTTGAGTCGACTCGAAAGTCAACTGAGGCGATTGAAGGGGAGGCGAAGGAGCAAGCAGGAATTGGGAGCGAAGGGGCTGGTCTGATGAAGGAAGAGGGTGAGAGAGCAGGAGAAACACAGCAGCAGGAGGGACAAGGGCAGCAGCAGCAGCAGCAGCAGGGGCAGCAGGGGCAGCAGAAACAGAAGCAGCGTAAATGGGAGACTGGGCAAAGTGAGGGGGCTGGACAAACGCTTTACTTGTGTCTCAGTAACAGCAAGGTGACTCTCGATTTGGCTCACAAATCGTTTGAGGGAGGGGAAGCAGCAGGCAGAGGAGTAGTGCTGCTACTGTGTGTCAGAAGCAGCAGGGAGAGAGAGGGGATGGGAAGTGGAGGAGGGGACAAGGAGGGAGAGGGTATGAGAAGTGGACAGGGAGTGGAGGGAAGAACGCTAGAACAAAGGGTTGGGAAGGCATTGGATAGGGAAAAGGGGAGAGGTGTGAGTAGGGGAGAAGAGCGGAAGGGGAGGGGGAGAGGAGACGGGTGGAATGGGGAGGGGATGGAGGGAGCTGGTGCTAGGGTTGTTGCAGGCTTTGAGTTGCGTGGAAAGGCGGAAGGAGATGGCGCAAGGGCGGTTGCGGCTTTTGAGGCGCGGAAAAGGGCACGAAAAGCTGTTGCAAGGGCGGTTGCGGCTCGGCCACTGTGGCTCATCAACCGGACCACCCTGGTATGAGTGTGTGTTGTGAAACCTTCATCATCTCTTGCGGGGTTTGAGGCGCATCTAAAGGCGGGAAAAGCTGTTGCAAGGGCAGTTGCGGCTTGGCCACTGTGGCTCATCAACCGAACCACTCTGGTATGCTTCTTGAGAAACCTGCTACCAATTTTCTTGCGCGAACTCTCAGCACACCTGGGTGTGGTGGGTGTGTGCATGTGTGCAAAAGGCAAGAGGAGCTGTTGCAAGGGCGGTTGCGGCTCAACCGTGGTCGCTCATCAACCGAACCTCGCTGGTATACGTCTTGAGAAATTTACAAGTTTCTTGCGTGAGCTCTCTCACAGCACGCCTGGGTGTGGGTGTGCGTGCGTGTGCATGTCCGTCCGTCCACCCAGGCGTGCAAAAGGCAAGAGCTGCGTGTGCTTGAGAAACTTATGAGAATCCTCAAACGGTTGTTGAATATTCTGAAAATCACAACTGTTGTCGATTGGTCAAAACAATTTGGCCACCGCACTGCACCACTCGTGTGTATGTGTCTTTTTTTGTTAATGATATTTCTTTGGGATCTCTCCATCTCGTCTCACGTCGATCCGATTTTGTCGTTTGGTCCTTCGATGCGCAAGTACATGGCCAACTGTTGTTTCTCCGATCATGCAGAATTCTCAGAACAAGGAGTCGACACGTGTGTGATAGTCGATTTTAGAGTCGACTAAGAAAATCAAATTCTCAAAAAAAGGAGTCTCACAACCTGCAAGTACATGGTCAACAAGCTAAGGAGGCGGGTGGCTCTGCGCGTCAGGCGGTAATCTCGTATGATTCTACCCCTCTCTGCCCTCCGTCAAGGAGGCGGGTGGGTCTGCGCGTGAGGCTGAGTGGGCAAGCAAGCAAGCAGTGCAAGTGGACGGTCAACACGGTAATCTCGTATGATTCTATGATCTATCCACCCCTCTCTGCCCTCCATCAAGGAGGCGGGTGGCTCTGCGCATGAGGCTGAGCAAGCAAGCAAGCAAGCAATCACGCAGTGCAAGTAGACAGACAACAAGGTAATCTCGTATGATTCTACCCCTCTCTGCCCGCCTCCCCTCCCCCTCCTCATTGGCAGACATGGGGGAGAGATCAGTCAAGGAGGCGGGCGGCTCTGCTGCGTGTGAGGCCTCTGTTTTTGAGGTGCCTAAAAAATAGACTCTCTGCCCTTCTCCCCTCCTCCCCCTTCTCCTCATTGCCAGACATGGGGGATAGATCAGTCAAGGAGGCGGGCGGCTCTGCTGCGTGTGAGGCCTCTGTTTTTGAGGTGCCTAAAAAATAGACTCTCTGCCCTTCTCCCCTCCTCCCCCTTCTCCTCATTGCCAGACATGGGGGATAGATCAGTCAAGGAGGCGGGTGGCTCTGCGCGTGAGGCTGAGTGGGCAGGCACGCAGTGCCACGTCAGCAGTCGCGACGTCAGCAGGCCAGGCACCAGCTCAAGCTCCTGCGGCCGAACCTCCTGCCGCACCTCCTCCCGAACCTCCTGCCGCACCTCCTCCCGAGCCTTCTGCCCCACCTCCTCCTGAACTTCCTGCCGCGCCTCCTCCCGAGCCTTCTGCCCCACCTCCTCCTGAACCTCCTGCCGCTGCTCCTCCTGCCGAACCTCCTGCAGCGGCCCCTCCACCATCCGAGCCTCCTGCTGCCGCCCCTCCACCATCCGAGCCTCCTGCCGCCGCCCCTTCACTTCCCCCCGTTGCCCCATCACCCGATGCCACTGCCATTCCCCCCACACTCCCTCCCATCCTTCCCCCTACACTTCCCCCAGCCTCTCCCCCTACACTCTCCCCCGCCTCTCCCCCTGCTCTCCCCCCAACATCTCCCCCTGTTCTCTCCCCAGCCTCCCCCCCTGATCCCCCTTTCGTCCCCCCTCCCTCTCCCCCTCCCCCAGACCTAGGCACCCTCACTCCTACTGCCGACTCCCCTCCCCCCTCCTCTCCCTCCTCCCCTCCCTCCTCTCGCTTCCCTCCTCCCCCATCCTCTCGTACCCCTCCCATCTCCCTCATTCCTGGTACCTCCACCTCTCATCCTCCCCCGCCTCCTCCTCAAACAATTTCCAACCCTTCCCTTCCCCCTGCTGCTGATCCCCCCTCACTTCTTTCCCCCTCCCCTGCTGCTTCCCCTGCCCTTGCCCCCGAGCTTTCCCCCTCTTTCCCCCCTATAGGTTCCCCTTCCCCCTCTCCCCCTCTCGCCCCCGCCCCCGCCCCTTCCCCTGATTTCCCCACCGCCATCTCCCCTGCTCCTTCCCCTGCCCTTGCCCCAGCGCCATCCCCAGCCGCCCTTCCCCCTGTGCTTCCCCCTGAGCTTCCCCCTGAGCTTCCCCCTGAGCTTCCCCCAGCTGCTTCCCCCCTTCCCCCAGATCCCCCACAACCCCCCCCTCACCCTCACAGACCCCCTAAACGACACCCCCCACGCGCCCCCCAACCCCCTCCCCCTTCCGAGCCTCCTGCCGAGCCTCCTGCCGTCCTTCCTGCCGAACCTCCTGCCGAGCCTCCGAGCCTTTCCCCTGCTTCCAGCCCTTCCCCCTCCCCCTCTGCTGTCTTCCCCCTTTCCCCTTCTCCTCCCCCACCTCTCTCCCCCCACCCCCATCGTTTCCCCCCCACTGCCCCCACTCTCTCCTCCCCTTCCTCATCCCCTCCTCCTTCCCCACCTTCTTCCTCCTCTCACCCTCCATCCTCACTCTATCCCCCTCCACACACTCTCCCCCATCCCCCTCCTCCACTCCCCCCTCCCCCGCCCCATTCCCTTCCCCAACCCCTCCCCCCTCCCCCTCCCCCTCCCGTCCATCACCCTATAAAACACCACCCCCCTCTCTATGCCGGCACACCCCGCAGCTTCGCTCCTGTCACCCTCACACCTCCCCCTCCTCCTCCCTCGCCTCCTCGCCTCCAATCCACCCCTCCTCCTAGCTTATTCCCATCCTTCCCTCCTGGTGCTCTCACCCCTTCCCCGCCTCCTCCACTGCTTCCTCCTCCTCCTTCGCTGCTTTCTCCTCCGCCATTCACCGTCGGCCCATCAAGCCCGGCCGCTGTCCTGCCGTCACCGCCGCCACCGCCTCTCATCCTTCCGCCCCCGCCCCCCGACAGCCGAAGTAAGTTCTCCTTTCTTCCTCCCTCCTCCCTTCTCTGATTACTTCTCTCCCTCCTCTTTCTCCTTCTCCCCTGCTCTCTCCTCCTCTGCTTTGTCCTCCGCCATTCACCGTCGGTTCGTCAAGCCCGGCCGCTGTCCTGCCGTCACCACCACCGCCACCGCCTCTCATCCTTCCGCCCCCTCCCCCCGACAGCCGAAGTAAGTTTGCCTTGTGTTTTCCCCTATTCTTTCTAAATGCTTCCCCCTTCCTGCCCGTGGTTCCCACCTCTCTAGCCTCCTCCTCCCCCTCCTGCATTCACCGTCGGCCCGTCAAGCCCGGCCGCTGACTTTTGAGTCGACTCAAAAGTCAACCCCCTCCTGCATTCACCGTCGGCCCGTCAAGCCCGGCCGCTGTCCTGCCGTCAGCAGCACCACCACCACCGCCGCTCATCCTTCCACCTCCACCCCCCGACAGCAGAAGTAAGTTCTTTTTTATTCCTCCCTCCTCCCTTCTCTAGTAACTTCTCTCCCTCATCTTTCTCCTCTTCTGCTCTCTTCTCTTCCTCCATTCACAATCGGCCCATCAAGCACTGCCACTGTCCTGCCGTCACCACGTCCGCCACCACCGCTCATGGTGCCATTCACGTCGCTCATCCTTCCGCCCCCTCCCCCTGACGGCCGAAGTGAGTTCGTTCTCATTTTCCGCCCCTCACTTCTCTAGTTTTCCCCCTCTCCCCTCTCTTCCCTCTCCCACTCATCCTTCCACCCCCTCCTCCTGCCTGACAGCCGAAGTGAGTACTCTCCCTTTCAATCTCTCCCACTCGTTCCCCCCTCCCTTGTCTCATCACTCGCCCTCTCTGCACTTCATTCCCACCTCTCTTCACCTCTCTCCACCGCTCCCTCTCGTTCCCCTCTCTCTCCCTTCGCTGATTGCTTCACTCCCACCATTCTCCCGACACCCACCCACCCATCTCCTCTTTTCTCCCACCCCCTCCCTGTTACCCCCACCCTCCTCTTCCACTCCTTCCCTCCCCTGCCTCTGCGCCCTCCCAATGGTGCTCATAGCTCGCCGGCACTCCTCCTTCGACTCCTTCCTGACCAACTTCCCTGTGTTCGCACAACAGCTCGCCTTGGCCTTCCCTATCACGCTGATCAGAAAAATCCTCTGACAAAATACCTTGCCCCTCTTTCCCCCCACCCGTTCCCCCTTGTTTTCCTCCCAGACTGCCCCCCCTGCCCATCCCCCACCGTCCTCCTTCCCTCCACCTCCCCCTCCCTCCCCTGCGCCTGTGCCCTCCCAATGGTGCTCATAGCTCGCCTGCACTCCTCCTTCGACTCCTTCCTACACAACGTCCCCTCGTTCGCGCGAGAGCTCGCCTCGCCCCTCCTCTTACAGCCCCCTCAAGTGGAGGTCTGGGCTGTCACTTACGATCCTGATCCCACGGCGCTTGTGGTTACCACGTATTTTCTGCCAGTGGAAGGGGAAGGGACAGCAGCAGCAGCAGCAGCAGTAGCGGCGGTGGAGGCAACAGCAGAAAACGCAGCAGGAGCAGCAGCCGCAGCAGCGGAGGCTGGACCTCTTGTGAGGCACCTCAAAAGCGATCCAGCGGGCCTCATTGGTACCAAGGTGACTTTTGAGTCGACTCAAAAGTCTCATCTCCTGCCAGAAGAAAGGAGAAGAGCAGAGGCAGAAGTACAGAGGCACTCACGCTTGCTGGCAGGAGCAGAGAATGGAAACTCTCAGGGGGAGCTGCCGGTGCAGCTGAATCGGACCGAGGTGACCAGGATTCGGCAGGTGTTGCTGGGAGGAGGAGTGCAGCCTGACCCGAGTTTGTTTGGGGAGTTTACCGTCCTTTTAATTCTAAACCCGGGTAAGTTGGGTTGGGATGGGTTGGGCTGCTCTCGTGTGTGGTTGGAGTGGGTGCCGTTCTGGTTGTACAGAGTTGGTTTTCTAGCGTTCCTAAATAGAAAAAAGAGGGGGTTATGCAGTTTAATGTCCAGGGTTAAGCGCTTGGGTTTTTTTAGGGCTCGCAAAAACATGTGCGCGTGAAACCGAGGTAGCTGATCTCAAAATTCTTTTTGCCCGTTCTGTTCTCTGTTTTCCGTACCCTGTTTCCTGCTCTCTGTCAGGTTTACCGTTTTTGAGTCGACTAAAAAACACGCTCTGCTTTTGAGTCGACTGTTTTTGAGTCCACTCAAAAACACGTTCTGTTCTCTGTTTTCCGTACCTTGTTTCCTGCTCTCTGTCAGGTTTACCGTTCCGCAGCCCTCCTACTCCTCCCTCCCCCGATCAGCCACTCTCACCCGTCATCACCTCTAATAGAACAAGCACATTACCTTCTCTCATCCCTCCTTTCGTTCCCCCCTCTGTTCTTTTTTCTGTTTTCTGCCCCCCTCTCAGATCAACCACTCCCCAGCCCTCCTCCTCCTCCTTCCCCCGATCAGCCTCTCTCACCCGCCTCTCTCACCCGCCATCACCGCTAATAGCAAGCCCCAACTCTTTTCTCATCTAGCATCACCGTATCCTTTCATTTCCCCCTCTATTTTCTGTTTTCTGTTTTCTGCCCCCTTTCAGGTCAACCGTTTCCCAGCCCTCCCCCTCCTCCCTCCCCCGATCAGCCTCTCACTCCCACCATCACTGCTAACAGCACCAACGCCAGTGACACATCCTCCCCTTCCTCCTCCTCTTCCTCTCCTCCCTCCTCCTCCTCGCTCTCCTCTCTCCTCATCCTCCTGATCATTGGAATCCCGGTGGGGGTATTTGCGCTGGTTACCCTGGTTGCGATAGTGTGGAACCGGCTAGTCACCCGGAAGGCTCAGAGAAACGCGTTTAAGGGGGTGAGAACAGTCGGGCCGTTTTGGGGGGGAGGGAGTGAGGGAGACGAGGAGGGGGATGGCTCGTGGCTTGCTGAAGCAAGCTCGGCTGCTGCTGCTGCAGCAGCGGCAGCAGCAGCAGCAGCAGCTGGGTTGCACTCACCTGGTAAACGAGCAAGCTTTTACTCCCCTCCACGTGATTATTCCTCTCCTCCCTCCTCCCCTCCACATAGACCTACCCTTTTAATAAGAGAAGGAGGGGATTCAGTGGGAGGGGAAGAAGGTGCAAGGGTAGGAGTGGGGGGGAATGCAGGAAACCAGACCAGTAGGGGAGTGGGAGAGGAGGTAGGTGGGAGGAGGGGCAAGAAGACAAAGAAGAGGCACTTAAAGCCCGAAAGTTCCGGCATCCCTTTTGCAACGTCCTTAAAGCTTGGAAACTTTTGTGACGGGTCGTATTCTTTCTCAGTCGCGCAGATACAGGCAGCCACGGAAAATTTCAGCTCGGGCAGGCTGATCGGGCAGGGAGGGTTTAGTCGGGTGTACAAGGGGGTTTTGGAAAACGGGACGCCGGTTGCTGTGAAGCTGCTCCTCTCCTCCCGAACCTCGGCAACAGCGTTGGCAGATGTAGCTCGGTCACCGAACCTAAATGAGCAAGCAGCAGGAGCAGCTATGGTTATGGCAGCAGCAGCAGAAGCAGCAGCCGCAGCAGCAAGAGCCTCACCAAAAGCAGCAGCAGCAGCAGCAGGAGCAGGCTCGGGAGCAGGTTCGGGAGCAGGTTCGGGAGCGCAAGGCTCGGAAGCAACAGGCTTGCAAACAGGTGTGGGAGCAGGCTGGGGAGCAGGTTCTGCGGACATCCCCCCTACAAGGGAACTCGATTTTGATAAAGAGTTCTCCGCGGAGGCACGTCTTTTAAGCTGTTTGAATCACAGAAACATCGTGAAGCTTCTGGGAATCTGCTGTGAGGGGAACTTTCGGTGCCTGGTTTTTGAGTTGGTGGAAAAGGGGACTTTGCACTCTCTGCTGCATGTAAGATCAGGACGAGAAAGAGGGGAGGGGGGAGAAAGAAGGAACGGGACAGAAAGAGGGGGAGGGGGAGAAAGAGAGGAGGAAGAAGGAGAAGGAGGAGAAGGAGGAGGAGGAGGAGGAGGAGAAGGTGCTTCCCACGCTCCTCTACTTCCTCCTCTCTCTCCTCCTCCCCTCACTCCCCTTCCTCTCCCCCCCTTAGACTGGCCTCAGAGGCTCAAAATAGCACTGGGAGTAGCCCAGGGCATACGTTACTTGCATGAGGACTCTTCCCCTTCTATCATCCACCGGGACTTGAAATCTGCAAATGTGCTGATAGATAGAGACTTGGTGCCTAAGATCGCTGATTTCGGGCTGGCTAGGACAGTGGTGGTTCGGCAGGAGAAGGAGTTGGGTATTTCTGTCGTAGAAGAGGGGGGAGAAGGCAGGAAAAGGGGTGCGGGGAGTGGGAGCGTGGAGGGGGAGGAGGAAGGCAGGGAGAGGGAGGGAGAAGAGTCGGGGAAAGGAGATTGGCTAAATCAAGAGGAGAGCGGAGAGGGTGAGAGAGGATGGTTGATGGGAAGGCGAGGGGGAGGCGTGGCCGAGCGGAGGGAACTGGTATCAGAGCAGATGGTCGATCAGAATAAAATGGTATCAGCACAAATGGTATCGGGACATTTGGTGGGCACGTTCGGTTACATGGCTCCAGAATACACACTCACGGGGAGTTTCAGTCTCAAGAGTGATGTATATAGCTTCGGTGTTATCCTCCTGGAGCTTCTCACCGGACGTAAACCTGTGGTCCGAACCGAGCCTGGAGGTGTGGAGAGCCTCGTGCAGTGGGCCAGGCCGCTGCTTGCCGAGCCTAGGCTGCAGGTTCGGCAGCTCGCCGACCCGTTGCTGGAGGGGAGGTTCGACGAGGGGAGTCTGGTTCGGGTGGTTTCCGTGGCTGGGATGTGTGTTGCTGCTGATGTTGCTAAACGGCCGGCCATGAGTCAAGTAGTGGAGGTGCGTCCTATCTACCTTACAACCAAGTGTCTATGTGTCCGACCAGTGCGTGTGGGTGCGTTGCGTTCAATACAAGGGTGGCTGCTTTGGCTTGGATGTGTGTTGCTGCTGATGCTGGGAAAAGACCGGTGATGAGTCAAGAAGTGGAGGTGAGAGTGTGTAACAGTGTGACCTGTTGTGACCTGTGTGTAAGGGTGGCTGCTGTGGCTGGGATGTGTGTTGCTGCTGATGCTGCTAAACGGCCGGCCATGAGTCAAGTAGTGGTGGTGAGTTCTTTGTACCTATCGTCCAACCAAACAACTTGGTGTTTATGTGTGTGACCAGTGCATCTGTTGTGTGCAAGTGAGGCTGCTGCTGTGGCTGAAATGTGTGTTGCTGCTGATGCTGGGAAAGCACCGGCGATAAGTCAAGTGGTGGAGGTGAGTTGAAGAAAATGAGTGTGTGTGTATCTGCGTGTGTGGTGTACAGCTGTTGGAAAGTATCAAGTTTACTTTGTGATTGAAGACCGGCTACGAGTCGGCTAGCGTACAAGTGTGCGACATGTGCAAGCGACATGCATGCGACATGCGTGCGACATGCGTGCGACATGCGTGCGACATGCGTGCGACATGCGTGCGGCATGCGTGCGGCATGCGTGCGGCATGCGTGCGGCATGCGTGCGGCATGCGTGCGGCATGCGTGCGGCATGCGTGCAGCATGCGTGTGGCATGCGTGCGGCATGCGTGCGACATGCGTGCGACATGCGTGCGACATGCGTGCGGCATGTGTGCGACACTTCAAATCTTGATGAATACTTCTCTCCTTTCAATTGATGTCTCCCATCCCGTCCCCGCTTGCAGCTACTGCGGCAAATTCAGTCTGAAGATTCCATGGCAGCATGGTAAGCAGTCTTACATAACATTTTATGTAGGTGAAATAAAAAAATGAAAACAAAAAAATATCCGTCTTTATGTCCTTCAATTTTCCAATTATCTTCTCTCCATTCCCTGTCGCCTCCATCCCATCCCCTTGCATTGCTCTCTTTTCAGCCTCCCCACCATTCACTTCCTCTTCTCTCCTCAACACTCCCTTCTTCCCCGTACCCACGTCTCACCAGCCTTCTTCCAATCCGTTTTCCGATATCTCCCTTTCTGCCTGCCCTGCCCCTCTGTGCTCCCCAGCAAATCGAGTTGACTCTGAGTCGACTGAAAAGTCGTCTCACGAACCTTCTTTCAATCCATTCTCCGTTTTCCGTTATCTCCCTTCCTGCCTGCCCTGCCCCTCCTTGCTCTCCCCTTTTCAGCAGCAAATCAGTATCCGCACCAACAGCAACTGCAAGTGCTACCACTGCTACTTCCGCCTCCTCTGCTTCCTCTTCTTCTTCCTCCTCCTCCGCTTCCTCCTCCTCTTCCTCCCGTGTACCCTTCCGTGCCCCTCACCCCCATCAGACCCCCTTCACCCCCACCCCCTCCAGATCCCTCCTTTCCCCTTCTCACTCCTCCACTCACTCCTCCCCATCTCGCCCCACCACACAAACCCCTCTGCTCTCCTCCCTCTCCTCACTCCCTCACCCTCACACCCATCCCTCCCGTCTCCGCCCCTCCCACCCCTCCCCCTACTCCTCCCGTCAACCCCCACACTTCCCCTCTCACTCCCGCTCACAGTCCCTCTCTCACTCCCCTTCTCACTCCTCCTCCCTCGCCTCTCCCCACCACACACCCAGACGCCACCATCCCTCCTTCCCACCGCCCCACTACCCCTCCCCAGATATACCTTCCCCAGCTGCCGCCTCCCCTGCTTCCTACTTATCAGCAGAGGAGGGGTTTGAAAACCCAGGTGGAGGGGAGAGTATGAGGGGGCCTGAAGGGAGTGGGGCAGGAGGGATAGGGTTTTCCCTTCTGCCGCCTGTGCCAGAGGCAGAACGAGCGGCCATGCCGAGACTTCTGAGGATGACAGTTCAAGGGCTGGACTACAGGTGAGGAAACACCAATGGGTGTGTGGTGGCTAGGGTTGAGATGCCATGACAGTGCAAGGGCTGGACTACAGGTGAGATGAAGCAGGGTGGGTGGTGCGTACGGTTGGCATGAGTGAGGCAGGGGCGGTTGCTTTTTCCCTGCTGAAGCCTGTGCCAGAGGCAGAACGGGCGGCCATGCCGAGACTGCTGAGAATGACTGTTCAAGGGCTGGACTACAGGTGAGACCTTCTAGTAGCCCCACCCACTTCCCCATTCTAGGTATACCATCCCCTGCTGCCGCCTGTGCCAGAGGCAGAGGGGGCGGTGATGCCGAGACTGCTGAGGATGACAGTCCCAGGGTTGGACTGGTGAGAAGAAATAGGAGGGTGTGCTGTGTTGTGTTGTGCCTAGGGTTTTGCACTGTTGCCACCAGTGCCAGAGGCACCTCAAGAACCAACTCGCCTTTCTCCTTGTCTTCCCCCCCTTCCCTTGTGCTGCAGTGGGGACCTGGCATTGTCTTCTTGCAAGTCTGACCTTGAGTCAACCTCATCGCCTTCACAGTCCTGGCACTCACAGAGCCAACTAGCCGGCCAGCCACCCGCAGGGATGGCTTCTGAGTCAGCCAAAAAGTCAACTGAGTCAGTTCAAAAGTCAACCGAGTCAACCACATTGCTTTCGCACTTCCGACACTCACCGAGCCAACCAGCCGAGCAGCAACCTGCAGGGATCTCCCCTCTCCTCACACTCTCGCACTCCCTCTCCTCCACGACTCAGAGCACCCACCACATAGCACACTCTTCTGCAACCCTACAGCCTCCACCACACTCCGGAGCAATCACCGAACCTAGGGATGAGGCTCGGGAGAACCGCACTGGGAGCCACACACTTGATATTGGCCAAAGCGGGGAGATTCACAGTCAGCTCTTCAGCCGAGAGGGTGTAATTTCACCTCATAATCAAGAACGTGGTAAACACACACATACACATGGTTTGAGCACATTATACGGTGGTAAAAGGGACGGGGAAGGATCAAGTCACAGTCATTTCCCTAGGCCCAGATTTTGGGGGAATGATAGTGGAAAACAAGGTCATGATTATTTGCTCGATGGTGCGTACGACAGCTCTTGAACTGATGATAGCGGTGCGTGGAGCGGAGATGTGGCGAGGGAAGAGGTGAATGAGCTTGATAAAACTTGTTCACGTCGAGGGTTGTCATAGTATGATCCATTGGGGTTGTGGGTGCATTTTTTTATTCAATTTGTGTGAAAGAAGTGTGTCTGTGCTCTGTATTCTGGAAGGAGCTTGGAAGACTCGTTTGTGAAGCTGATAATCTAGTTGCTTCAAGCGAAATTTCAGATTGACTGGCCACGAAGTATGGACGACCAAACCTGCTGCGCTGTAATCCCCTTATATCGAATCCACGTTCCAGTCACGCACTTTCTCGTCGTGGAGACATCGAGTCCAGCTGTGTTTCAACGTGGACGGTGCTCATGTCGGTCGTACTGTATCCAGCGCACGTGGAATGTCGAGCACCAATCATAGCTCGTGTAACTAGGTTTTCTGCATTGTGGGTGTTGTTGTCAAGGCAGGGATCGGCCTCAGAAACGTTTGGACGAGCCTGCCCGCTACATATATCGATGGGATGTAACTGCCAGCTGGCTCCATGCTGCGCTGATTTACCGCGGATTATGACGGCGACGTCAGATTGGCAGGTCAACCGTCAGAGTGGGACCCGAACATTCGACGCAGCCAAGACCCCATCCCCAATACGTCAGCTACAATTGACGGCTGTGACTGTTATCACAGTGCCAGCAGTGAAAACGAAACGTCAAAGTCTGCCACAGGGAGGCTTGTGGGGCAAACAGGCTTGCGTTGCCGAGCCACCCTACCATTTCTGCCGAACCTTTAACCCAAACTAGGCCGGGCATTGCTAAGGGTGCCATGAACAGCTCCTGCGTCTCTCGTTCGTCGTGGTGGCTATGCCTCGATCGAAACCAAATCGGTTTCTCCAACGTCTGCCCATCATCCATGTCCCTGCCCCATGTGTCTTTTTCTGTCACCGTAATTCTAGGCTGTATCCACCAACCGCAAGTGGCTCGGACCTGCTCTTGTCCGACGCGAAGTCTACATGCTTGAACCCAGCCGAACTTTATACAACAAACGACCACCGTTTCTTCTTCCAGCCTACATTTTCGACTTTCCGGCAGCGTTCATTGGTGTACAGCAGCGTGTCGGCGGGGCTTCTTCCGCCTCCGCTCTGCACGGCTGACGCGTTCCCGAGCGCTTGACGAACCAAAACCCTCCCTCCTCCCCCCTCTTTGCCGCCCCAACCGCACCCCCAAACCCCCCCTCGCCCCTCCCAAGCCGAGCAACCTCTCCCTGCCACCCTCCCCTCATTCCCGAACCGAAATTGCCGCACCACCCAGCCACCCACCCACCACCACCCTACAAGTGGACAAACTTGCCTCGAGCCACCAGGTTCGGTTCAGCGCCGCAGCGTCTCGAGGCCATCCACCAATGAACAGCAACCTATATGCCGCGCTGTCCTGTCTCGATTCCTTCGGTCTCCCTCACACTCCTCCGAACCGGGTCTCGAACCTCGAGTCTCACCACTGAGCCGAGTCTCTCCATGCCCAGTCACCACTACCCACACCACACACACTCACACACTCACCACCGCTGCTGCTTCGCGTTCTCCTCGCCTCACCGCTGGTTCTTGCTTGTTTGTCTCGTCTCGTCTCGTCTCGTCTCTCTCGCCTCGTCGTCAACTTCAATGCTGCTGCTGCTGCTGTTTGATCCTGTCAGACCTGACCTGAACTCGTCAACTTCAATGAAGCAGCTCCCCTTGTTCTTGTAAACTTCGATTCTGCTCGCGCAGCCCTAGGCTTCTAAAAACTTGATTTATGCGGTAATAGATTCCATGCTCGAACTTCCCGATGTGCCAGCGAGACAGGTTCCAGAATTCCTTTGATTAGAGTTTCTTCGATCGCTGACGTAAGCCAGTTGGCCAAAGTAGGCCTAGTCAACCGTTAGGTTCGGTTCTGTCTAGAACGTACAGAATCACAGTAGAGCGTATACCTTAGTGCAGAATTGGTCGTTTATACTACTTGAATCGCGAGTATTCCTGTGCACACGTTTAGTCATGGTAGTCGCCACGTTGTACACGTGGCAAGCCGACCCGCTCTTCCTAGCGGCTGAGGAGGTGCAAGACTCGGCAGACAGGTCCGTCTCCTCTCCCTCTCTCCCTCTCTCCGTCTGCCGGCTTCTCTTCTTATCTCTCGTCACCTCCGCCGCAACTCCGCGGCCAGTCCTGATGGTGACTCGCAATTGTTTCGCGATTCGCGTTTTTCGTCGCATTTTTTTGTTCACTGTCGACTTACCTCGTACCACGTCCAGTCGCCATGCGCACGCCATGAGTTCTTAAGATCCTCTAGGTTAGGTCCGCTTTCGATCCTGCTTTGGGGTCGCAACCCTCTTTCCTTTGGGTCCGTTTTAGGTATCTCGATGTCCCCCTATTGCGACACCTACCTTTTCTCCCTCCCGTACCTTAAAACTCCTATCGCATTTCTATAATTTCAGGGCCAGTTCCCCTCCCTTTTTAAGGCACCTCATTGTTTATTCTTCGCTATCTCTATCTTCACTACTCCCGTATTTTCAGGCTGCAGTCGAGCTTCCACCAATGGCAGCTTCTCCTCCAGCGCCGAGAATGCGGAGACGAACCCGCCACGTGGCAAACGCACCCAGAAAACGACAACGACGGCGACTCCATCTGGCCGGTGCGGTCCGGCGACGACGAGGACGTGGTGGTTGTGACCGTTGATCAGCAAGTCGACGAGGAAGGCGTGCGACTCGTGATGCTCTGCGCGTGCGACACGCTGCGCTGGCAGCTCGAAGCCTTCGAGCGCGCGGCGCGAGACGACGAGTGGCGCGCCGAGGCGCTAGGCCAGGCGCCATCCAGCGTGAACGAGACTCGCGAGCGGCGCCGCCAGTTCGTCTCCGCGATTCGCATGCAGCTGCAGCAGGTGCAGGCCGTCATCCGCCCCGCGATCGGCGCCTCCTCGGCTGCCGCAGATACAGCCGTCGCGTCCGGGTCTTCGGTCGGAAGTAGTAGCGCGGTTAGCGGCGTGGATTCCGGTGGAATAACAGTCGCTTTTCCGTCCGGTTTGGCAGCGGCCGCTTCTAACGCGTCTAGCCGAGCAGCAGCAGCAGCTGTTGCTTCTACTGAAACTGATGGTAACCCTGCTTTCGTCTCTCCTTCATCTTTCCGTGCCGCTGACGTAAGCAGCGGCAGCTGCAGCAACAGCTCATTGGACAGTCGCCTCGCGGCCTTTCTCACGCCGCCACGTGTCGCTGCTTCCAGAAGCAGCAGCGGCGGCAGCAGTAGCAGTTTCACGACTGTCAGCAGCGGCAGCAGCGTCAGTGGCGCAACTAGCTCCTGTAGTGGGGCCGACAATATCGGGGATAACAACGGAAGTCCTTGCCGAAAATCAGCCAGAGTTTCAGCCGTAGGTTCCGCGCCCGCAGTGCTAGCGAGCTCGTCGTTTCCCCCTCCTACAGCAGCTTCCCATTCTGCTGAGTTGGACATTATAGAATCAGCAGGTGCTGCTGGTGCAGTGGCCGCAGCAGCAGCGGCTGCAGGCGCGGCGGCAGGCGCAGCGGCAGGAGCAGCAGCGGCGGCAGCTGGCGCAGCGGCAGGCGCAGCAGCAGGCGCAGCGGTAGCCGCCTTTTCCTCCTCCGCCTCCGCCGTGTCCTCCTTTAGCCGTTGGATCGCCGGCAGCCCTACCAGAGCCCTAGATGCCAGCGGCAATGCTGACGTGGCGGCTGACGATTGGCTGCGGGTCCGGCAGGAAGCGATTAGGGTTTCACTCAGTGACGAAGACGAGGACATCGCCAGCCTTAGTGCATGTGCTATTAACGGGTCCTCTGGTGCTACTGGGGCGTTTGAGACGTCACAAAAAACATTCGGGGCTGACTTAGGCGGGTCACATCTGAGCCATTCGCATTTGGGGGGATCACGATTGGGTCGTGAGCACTCCGATTCGGAGCACGCACCGCTATTCGGGGGAGGCGCAACCGGGGGAGGCGCAACCGGCAGCAGGGGCGGGTGGTGGGGGCAGCAGCAGCAGCGGCGGTGGCGGCGCGGGCGGGAGCAGCAACAACCGTCATGGCAGTGCCTGGTTTACTGGCTAAAGCATATTCAAAGACCGGGGGAAGGTGGAGCAGCAGGAGGGGGAGCGGGCGGGGTGGCTGGTAAGGGGGGGTATGGCGAGAAGGAGACGATGGGTTCGGGGAGGCTGCTGCTCGACGGACGTGTGGACATGGCCGAAATGGAACTGGTTAGTTTTCTCCCCCTTTTTTTTTTCCTTCTGTTGTTTCTTTTCCCTGATTTTTCCTCGGGTATATTGGCGATTCATTGTTTCCCCCTTCCGCCTGGGAAGTTACGCCTCTTAGCGTTCATGCACTCCTACTACTACTTCTAATGCTCTCCTTCCCTACACGTTCTCTCTGTCCCTCGCCCATCCCATCTCTCGTCCCACTCTGCCTCTCCCCAGGGTCTGTTGCAATTAAACAACAGCCAGGCCGCTCAGATGAACGCCCATTGGCCCAGTGAACCAACTGCCTTTGCCTGAATCCTACACGTTCCTCATATGTTCCATGCTATTCCCTGCGTTTTCCCCTTCCCTGCCTTTCCCCCTTCCCTGCCTCCCCTTTCCCCTCCCCTTTCCCAGGGTCTTCTGCAATTAAACAACAGCCAGGTCGCTCAGATGAACGCCCATTGGCCGGCTCAACGGCTAGCAGAGGAAGAAGAGGAGGATGATCAACGGCAGGGATCTGCTCACGATGACGACGCAGGCGAGAATCAACGGCTGGTTTTTGGCTGGCAGCTGTCGCTGCACCGAAAGAAGCGACGGTCGAGATCAAAAGCTGGAGGGAAAGGGGGAGTAGGGGAGTCTGATGGGGAGGAGAGTGAGGGAGGAGTAACGGTGCTGATGGGTTTGAATGGCAGAGAGCTAGTAACGGCGCTTGTGGCGATAGTGGGAATCATTCTCCTGATACTGCTGCTGCTGTCATGGTGTGGAGTAGGGGGGTCAGCACAACAAGCAAGCAGTTCTCCGTCCCTGCCTCCTCCGAATGATTAAGTAGGGGTACTGAGGGGTGCTCATGGGTTTGAGTGGCAAAGAGCTAGTAACAGCTCTCTGCCTACTGATGCTACTGCTGCTCCGATCAGGGGTTGGAGCAGGTGAGAGGCAGTACAAAGGGGTTCAATACGGTTGCCCGAGCATGGCCCAGATTTGCTTGAGCTAGCATTGAAATGACGCTCTGAACACATTAGTAGCAGAGAGTGACAGTGGAGGCGCAGCATCAGTAGTGTGGTTTAGGGAGCAGAGGGGCAGAGGAGCACGGCGGAGCAGTGGAGAGGGGAAGAGCAACTGCAGTGTGGTAGGGAGGGTGGGAAGAGCAGGAGGACTTCATAAGTGGTACAGCATGGTCATGCTTGGTTGGAGCAGGTCTGAGCAGTGGAGAGGGGAAGAGCAACTGCAGTGTGGTAGGGAGGGAAGGAAGGGCAGGATTCCATAAGCTGCCCTTCCTGCCCTTGGAGGGTAGGGAAGGTACAGCATTGTTGTGCCTGGTTGGCGGTAGGGAAGGTGCAGCATTGTTGTGCCTGGTTGGCGGTAGGGAAGGTGCAGCATTGCCGGCACCTTAAATCCTTGGTACATGTACCTGAAACGAGGGTGCAAGTTCAAGCTTGCACCGAGTAACGGCTTTCGAGGGTTTCACAATAAGTGTGAGCGTGCATGAGGCTCCTCATTCATAAGCGGACTCGAAATAAGCCGAGGGTGCAGTTGGTGTGCCGCAGCAGCAATGCAGCAGCAATGAGGAGTGGTAGTGTCAGACAAGCAGAGGTGCAGAAACTTGAGCAGGAGAAGGAAGGTGGAGCGGAAGAGGGTGCATTTTCAGGGTGAATCAAATCCTTCTCAGACAGAGTCACGACCCTCATGGGTCGTGAGCTGGCTGGCACAGGCACAGGATCTGGGAAGTTGTTAAACAGGAGGAGCAGGAGGAGCAGGGGAAGGTGGAGGAGGTAGGATTGAGGCCCATCCTCACAGGTTACCGCATGTCTTGCGCGAGCTGACAGGCACAGCAACTGGGTAGTGACAGGAATGGGGAGGAGTGGAAGAAGGTGGAGGTAGACTCTGTGGAGTAAAGTGCTCCTGACTCAACACAAAATGGTTGCCTTTCTCAACACTATCGTGTTATACTTTGGTTTCAGCTACCTATCTCCATCGTTCCCCACATGACATGGGGAAGGAGATGGGTGGTGTCGTGCTTATTGTGTTCACATCTAAGTCATTATGATTTCATGTTTTGTTTTTTGTTTCCAAATGTGTTTGATTCAGTATGAATGTGATGCTTGTCCAGTGTTGAAAAGCTTTCTGAGGTACAATGAAAACAAATAGAAATGAAAATGAAGGTGGATCCGTCGTCGAAACGCAAAACTCTATGGAGGTGTCTAGTATCAACGCGCAAAATTCCAGTTCGAAGTTCAAACTTTTGGATTTGGCCTACCCTTACGATCAGTGTGGCTCAGGCTCAAAAACCTGATTATCAGTGTGACTCCTTGTGAAAAAACTTTCCCATCAGGGTTTTCCCCGTTTTGGAAAAATATACCCTGGCGCATCAGTGTTCATAAAAAACAAACCCTGTTCACTAGTTTTTATACTTGCACTCAATACAAAGAAACTGTAAGCCTGGCTAATGGTGGCTCAATGTGTGCCAGCACATGCGCTGTCAAGGCCGAAAATCAGGCTTCGACACTTGGCAATCGGGATTCCAGGGTTACGGGAAAGGGGGGTTGGGGGTACTGGGGGGCGAGGGGGAGGGGTAGGGTACTCGTTTCAGGGTAAAACTCGTTATGGGATCCGGGAACCCTTATGCATCAGTGTGACATAAATGTAAACCCTGGTTCATCATGGTAAAACTAGCTCCTAGAAAAATTACCCGGGGCCATCAGTGTGACCCCCAAAAACCACCCTGATTATCAGGGTATCAGGGTGATTTACCCTGATAAATTTTCCCCTGGTTTGAACGTCTTTACTGAAATCCCAGAACACCGAAAGACGCGCCTCGATTGTCCCCAGAAAACTCACTCTCACTGGGTCGCTTGCTACTCGTGCAGACTTTGGATTCTGGGATTCCACCGTACCAGTCTTCGAGCTGCTCCCTATTCGCTAGCAGGAGGTGCATTTGCGGTAAAAGCGGCGACGGCGAAAGAATAGCCCAACTCGGTGTTTAGGGTTACGCCGTTTCGGTCCACACCCCTCCGTGCAGTAACTCTTCGCCTTGGCACATCTCACACCCCGATACTGCCATTAACGGGGATAGGGTGTTCGAATCGCCACTTGTAATTTCTGATAGTAGTGGAGCTTGAAACGGAAGGGGCTCGCAACGGAAGGAGGCCCAACGATTAATGTCGCAACGGAGGAGGCCTGAAACGGAAGGAGCCTGAACAGGGCGTTTTCTTCTCTCCTCCGCGTTTTCTTCCAGTTTAGGTACGAACCCTCATTATTTCAGGTAGAGTGCGTGATTCCCCTTTTCCGTCCACAGGTTTTGAGGAGCTCAAAGCTCGTCTCACTATGAAGCACCTCAAATGTCGTCTGGGTAGGAACATTGGTCAGCTCAATTAGGGTGACTTTTGAGTCGATTCAAAAGTCACCTCATTATAAGGCACCCCAAAGCTCGTCTGGGTAAGAGCGTTGATCAGCTCAATTAGGGTGCGTTATTCCCTTCTCCTCCCTCCACGTTCCCTTCTAGCCATTTCGCTTTCTGCTCTCCTCACCTCAGCGACATTTTTCCTCACGAGGCAGATAACAAGGCTTTGAGGGAGTGTGGGAGCCGGGCGAGGGAAGCAGAGCCGAGCAGAGCAAACGATTACATGTCCCCTCCCTCCTTCCCTTCCGCCCCTCTCCCTCTTGCTGTGCAGGGTCGCAAGGCAAGCATGGAGGAGCACAAGACAGGGGAGGAGGGAGGTGAAGAGAGGAAAGCGAAGACGAGAGAGGAGCTGGGTCGCACCAATGAGGCTTTAAGGGAGTTTGGGCTCAGGGCGAGGGGAGCAGAGCGGAGCAATTGATTACGTGTCCTTTCCCTCCTTTTCTCCCTTCCGCCCTTCTTACTGTCCTGCAGGGTCGCAAGCCAAGCATGGAAGGACACAATGAGGAGCAGAGAGGTGAAGAGAGAAAAACAAAGATGAGAGAGGAGCTGGGGCGAACCAACTCCTTCCCTTCCTTCCGCCCCTCTTCTTGTCCTCCAGGGTCACAAGGCAAGGGAGGTGAAGAGAGAAGCAGTGCAGAGCAGGGCAATCAACCACACGTCCCTCCTTCCCCTCCGCCTCTCCTCCACCCCCGCCCCTCTTACTGTCCTGCAGGGTCGCAAGCCAAGCATGGAAGGACACAATGAGGAGCAGAGAGGTGAAGAGAGAAAAACAAAGATGAGAGGGGAGCTGGGGCGAACCAACTCCTTCCCTTCCTTCTGCCCCTCTTCTTGTCCTCCAGGGTCACAAGGCAAGGGAGGTGAAGAGAAAAGCAGTGCAGAGCAGGGCAATCAACCACACGTCCCTCCTTCCCCTCCGCCTCTCCTCCCCCCCCGCCCCTCTTACTGTCCTGCAGGGTCGCAAGCCAAGCATGGAAGGACACAATGAGGAGCAGAGAGGTGAAGAGAGAAAAACAAAGATGAGAGAGGAGCTGGGGCGAACCAATGAGGCTTTAAGGGAGTTTGGGCGCCGGGCGAGGGAAGCAGAGCAGCTGCTGCTGGCTGTGCAGAGACAAGATCGGGTTTTGAGGTGCCTCAAAACACGTTCCTCCTTCCCGTCCGCCCGTCCCATTGCTTGTCAGGGTATGGAAGAGCACAAAGCAGGCATGAGAGACAAGATCGGGTTTTGAGGTGCCTCAAAACACGTACCTCCTTCCCGTCCGCCCGTCCCATTTTTTGTCAGGGTATGGAAGAGCACAAAGCAGGCATGAGAGACAAGATCGGGTTTTGAGGTGCCTCACAACACGTTCCTCCTTCCCGTCCGCCCGTCCCATTGCTTGTCAGGGTATGGAAGAGCACAAAGCAGGCATGAGAGACAAGATTGGGTTTTGAGGTGCCTCAAAACACGTTCCTCCTTCCCGTCCGCCCGTCCCATTGCTTGTCAGGGTATGGAAGAGCACAAAGCAGGCATGAGAGACAAGATCGGGTTTTGAGGTGCCTCAAAACACGTTCCTCCTTCCCGTCCGCCCGTCCCATTGCTTGTCAGGGTATGGAAGAGCACAAAGCAGGCATGAGAGACAAGATTGGGTTTTGAGGTGCCTCAAAACACGTTCCTCCTTCCCGTCCGCCCGTCCCATTGCTTGTCAGGGTATGGAAGAGCACAAAGCAGGCATGAGAGACAAGATCGGGTTTTGAGGTGCCTCAAAACACGTTCCTCCTTCCCGTCCGCCCGTCCCATTGCTTGTCAGGGTATGGAAGAGCACAAAGCAGGCATGAGAGACAAGATCGGGTTTTGAGGTGCCTCAAAACACGTTCCTCCTTCCCGTCCGCCCGTCCCATTGCTTGTCAGGGTATGGAAGAGCACAAACCAGGCATGAGAGACAAGATCGGGTTTTGAGGTGCCTCAAAACACGTTCCTCCTTCCCGTCCGCCCGTCCCATTGCTTGTCAGGGTATGGAAGAGCACAAAGCAGGCATGAGAGACAAGATTGGGTTTTGAGGTGCCTCAAAACACGTTCCTCCTTCCCGTCCGCCCGTCCCATTGCTTGTCAGGGTATGGAAGAGCACAAAGCAGGCATGAGAGACAAGGTCGGGGCGGCGAATGAAAGCCAGTCAGGGGAGGAGAAGCACGCGAAGATGAGAGAGGAGCTGGGGCGAACGAACGAGGCTTTAAGGGAGTTTGGGCGGAGAGCGAGGGAAGCAGAGCAGCTGCTTCTGGCTGTGCTGGATGAACACAAAGGCTTTAAGTTGCTAGGAGAGGGGGGCAGAGCAGGGTCGAAGGGGGGGGGGTGGGGAGGGGAAAGAGGGGTTGAGGGAGGTTGGGGAGGAGGAGAAAGGGGTTGCAGGGGGAAGCGGGGTAGAGGAGAAGAGGGAGCAGGGGGAGGCTGGTTTGG